GAGGTGGTGAACATCTGCTGTTTGTATGAGGCAATGTGGTCATCCAGGTCAGTCATGTCATTGTAAGGTTTCGTATTGGGGATGGAGAACTTCTATGGCATCTCGGCTAGAGCTATAGCATCCACAAAGGGTGAGTCAACATAGTTGTGGGGTAGGCTCTTCTTGGTTAGGGTTGGCACTCTAGGTATGCACCTCATCATTGCTTCCATGTTGGCTAGTCTTTTGCCTAATATTTGCTCCGAGGGTGAGGTGGCCATTAGGTTAGCTTGAATGGCTTGGTTGGACATGTGACTCGCACTTAGGGATGAGAAACGAGTCGAGCAATTCGCAAGCTATTCGAGCTCGACTTGTGAAAAGCTTGAGCGGCTTGTTTAAGAGGTCAACCCGAGTTTGATCAGGGTGAAGCTCGACTCGATAGGCTAACGAGCCTCATTGTGCTTGGAGGACCAAATTATCAGTTTTGTACGTTTTTTTTATTTTCAAGTTTTTAAAATGACAAATAGCCTCCTTCTCACAATAAACTCGAAGCTCGAGCTCGAGTATCCACCCATACTCACGAGCTCGAGCCCAAGTATTTAAGCTCGAACGAGCTTGACATTGTTCATCACGAACCAAGCTTAAGTGTCCAGATTCTCGGCTCGTATACAACCCTACTCGCACTCAATATGTCGGGGTGAGTCGAGTCATATGGAGTAGCTTGGGTGTTCATTCTATCATGAGCTATTTGGTAGTTGGGGTCTCCATTCATCCATCTGGGTTGAGTCATTCCGAATGTGACCGATCATGTGTTTCAGCTAGCATGTATGTTGAGGGGGTTTATTTGAGAGTCACTTGGTCCGTGAGGGTGGATGGACCCAAACAGGGTAGATTGAAGGTGTGGGAGTCCACTCGACCCATGAGGGTGAGTCGAGCCGAATGGGGTTTGGTTAGGATTGCTGTTTGGTTGGGGATGACTTGGGAGGCTAAGAATGGGATGTTCTTGCAATTGTAGGTTTGGGGTTACCTGGATGCCTTGATCATGTGCTTGGAGAGGGTCGACCGAGAGCGATCGTGTTTGTTGTTCGGGTTCAAATGGATTCTAGGTCGAGCCATCCACTAGTGACAAATGGAGTTGGGATGCATGGCTCGACATTTGAATTGGACAATCTGGTGTCTGGAGTCTGGAGAGGTTGCATGGGCATAACTGGTTTGAGGAAGCAATTGGGCGGTACCTAGTTAGGTTGAAGCTCAAGATTATAGAGTTGACTTACCTTCTCTTTGAGAGTCTGGTTTTTAACCCGAATGGAGGCGTTTTTAGCAAGGATGGTGGCATTCTCAGCTTCTAGGACTGCAACTTTGTCCGAGTGTTGTTGCATAAGAATAGAGAGGGGTTTGAGCCTAGCTGTGAGGTTAGGATTGGCGTTGTTTGAGTTTTCAGCCATAAAGCGTTTATTTATGAAGTAGAGTGTTGTAGGAGGAATGATTGCCAGAGGCCCCACGGTGGGTGCCAAACTATAGACGATAAAATCTACGATTATGAAAAGGGGGGTTTGATCCCGTATGATTGAGGCCGCTAGCAATTTGCTGCGTCTGGACACACAAAGAAACAAGCATGAAGCGAACGGGAAATACAAGGGTGGTGTTTGCCATAGACACTCTGATGCTTAAGTCAGCAAGTCTGAATGAGGCTAATTTAGTGAGGGTAAGGGAAAGAGAGGGTTACCAGAAGTTTAGTCGGAGACTAGAACTATGGCGGTGATGTATAGCTCTCAAGGATGAGTACTAGAGGATTTGAAGATGTGATGTTGAATGAATTATGAGAGGGCGGGCCTCTGTTTATATAGCAATCGTAGGATTCCTGAATCCTAGTAAGACTATGAGTCCATAATAGTTAAGGTTTAGTGAACAGGAAAGTCTTCGATTCACTTGCCTTAGTAGGGGAAGAAGTTCTATTTACTCTAAGATTCGGATCTTAGAAGAATTATGATGTAGATGGATCTCTTTGAGAGAATCTAGATAGTACTGAAATAGGAAGTAGATGGCCTTAGGGTCTAAGTAAACCCTAGGTCCTGTAGGTGATCTTAGAACAATGGCCCTAGGACCAGATAAACTGATGGTGAGGCCTAAGTGAATTAAAGCCTTAGTGATTGTGCTCAATTTGTAAGCAGCTTGGTAGATGTAATGGATTGGCCCAATACGCGAATTCTATTGTTGGCCCAATCGGAATTGGACCATGGCTCTGAGCCCCATTCAAGGTGTTTTGTTTTTGGGCCCACTGAGACCTAGAACATTTTTTGGCCCTAACACTTCTAGCACACATTACTTAACATTTCCCCTTTAGCTAAACTATCTTGCTTTCCTTCTTCCATTTACTCTACTCAACATTTCCCCTTGAACTAAACTCTCTTGCTTTCCTCCTTTCATTCACTCTACTCAAGAAATCTGTAAGTTGAGATTGTTCTAAGAGCTGTTGACCAAAGATTAAACTAATTTAATCAAATTAAAGAAAGATAATATAATTGATTATTTGTATTTTTGCTTGAGTTATTGTACAGTTACAATTCTGGTTCCTACTAGACCATATTTATTAGAATATGAAATACCGTTAATTAAAGATGTATATAATAGACCATCTTTAATTGAATTTCACAAATCATTTAGACAATTACCCGTATTAATATGGTTTAGGTAAGGCATATAATCAAATCAAACAGGAGCTGGTTTAGTCTACAATTAAACATCATGCAGAAGAAGACTTGTAAGTATTAATTTGTTAAGAATTCCAGAATTACGAATTATTTACGTGGGTCAATTTGTTGGTTTACAAGCAAAAATCATCCGGAATTAGGCTTCTAAGCATTTTTCTGCTAAGTGCCAGAATTATGAGTTATTAACGTGGGTTGTTGTTTAGGCTCGGTTTTGACTTTTTGTAATTTCACTCATAACATAATCACTTTTAGGTTCACAAATTATGAATAATTAGCTTTTAATAAAAGTTTTTAGTGATAACTTTATAAAAAATTATTAATTAATTTAGTTTATAAAATAAACCATCTTTTATCTCTATACACTACCCTGTGTATAACATAGGAGGAAAATTCCATATTTTGAAGCTTTTATCAAATATCCATCTCTAACCACACATTTAATGATAATTTTACATGTCATGTTATATTTTTTACTTTACGGAAAATTAGGAACACAATTATTTGAAAGTAATTAATCCGCTTGGAAGCAAAGGTTGACCTGGCACCAGTAATGGAAGACTTCACTATCTTGGCAGCTATTATTGAACAAATTCTCAATTCTGAAAATACAATATTGAGTTTTGATTTTAATTTTGACCCTTATGCTTTACTACACGGAGAAGGAAAGCTCTTGGTTAACTGAATTTGCAATCTCCCATCCAGATGAGGCAATAAATTTTAATACTAGCATCGTTTTCCTATTTTAAATTTTATTTACTGTTTTCTAAAAATCTTTTTTTTTTTTTTAATAATCATTTTACATTAGAAAAAAAAGCTACATATACATATTTTTCACACAAAATAATTCATTCAAATTGATGTAATAAATTGTGTTGTTTTATAATCAGTTTAAAAATAAAGAAAGCGTAAATTGATAATATCCCTAATAATGTAATTGATAGTAAAATAATATGTACTTCTTCATTTTAATTATTACATATAATATTTTGGACCACACTTTACTTTTGAAACGTCAAATATTGAAATATGATTGATAATGAAATAATGGCGATATTCGGAATAGAATTAATACCACAAAAGTTGAAGATAGACTTGGAATATCAAAGGGAGATTTGCACTATCACTTTGACTTATCTTTGTAGATAGATTATGATACTATGATACTTTTGGAATATTTAGACACCATGTTCTAAAAATTGTTATCTCTACCACATATATTGTAGTTCAAACACTCAAATCACTCTTTCTATGTTCCATTGATTAGAACTTACTTTCCCAAAATCTCTTAAAACTATAATTATAAATTCCTTTGTCCTCAGGATTAGAAATTACTTTCCAACATATTACTTTAGGTCCACTAAAATAATTAATTTAATTATATTCAAAATTAATTCTCTTGTTAGAAAAAAAAATTATTGATCGTTATTCCTCTTTTCAATTCTCTTACTATTGACATTTTGTCAGTTTGAGGATGAATATGGGGATATGTGAATACTTTATAACATGATTGTCAAATCATGTATCGTATCATATATCGAAAACCTAATTATTTAAATTGTGTATCGCGTATCGTATCATATTGCAGGATATGTCTTTAAAAAAATAATAATAATAAAATTTTTCTAAAAATTAATATCATCCCCATGATTAATTAATAAATTTTATGGTATTGTTGGTTTTAAATTATAGTATTACATAATCAAAATTAATCACAAAATTAAGATTTTATATCATTTTCTCTCAACAATTCATATTATTTCCAAGATTAATATCAATATCAATACTTATAACTTCACTTGTGTTATTATTATCATGCAAAATGGGTAATATATCTTTCTTTTTACTTTTTTTATGCAAAATGGGTAAATTTGGATAGGTTTTAGTGAACCGGGTTGGGTGACACAGATTCGATCTGAATTTTTTTTGACCTTAGGTCTAAATTAATACAGTCGTATCGATATTTTTAAGGATACAAACGGATACGTATCATAGGATACATATTAATGTATCGAAAGATTAAAAATATACTTTTTAATATGTATCGTTAGCGATTTATATTGAATACGTATCACTTATCGTGGGATACTAACCACCATGCTTTATAGTTGTCAATAAGTATGGGACCGTGGGAAATCAACAAAACATAATGATCAATAAATAAATTCTGAATCCACATGCGACAAAACAAATAACTCTCCCTATGATATTATTTATATGTACAGTCTGGACTCTGGACTCTGCTGCTGGTCTACTTTCAATATTATCTGTTTTTGAAAGAAGCAATCACTCTTTCTGCATTAATCACCCAAAAAAAAAAAAAAAAAAAACATGAACCAGAACTATTTCGATTCCAAATTCTTTCTGTTACATTTCCTTCTTCTGCTCAATCTTTTAGGAATAATCACCTCAGCCTCATCCGGTTTTGAATCTGATGAACTCGCTTTACATGATTTCAAGAAACACATAACTCAAGATCCCCTTCAAATAATGAGATCCTGGAATGATTCTGTGCATTTCTGCAATTGGACTGGTCTTACATGCAGTCCAACTAATGGAAGAGTCACGATCTTGAATTTGGACTCGCAAAACTTGGTTGGCTCCATCCCACCTTCCATAGGAAACCTCACATTTCTCACTGCTATCAACCTGGGAAACAATAGCTTCCATGGTAAAATTCCTCCAGAAATAGGCCGTTTACAGCGCCTGCAGAATCTCACCTTGGATGGCAATCAATTTGGCGGGCGCATTCCAACGAATATATCTGGTTGTACAAATCTAAGAAAGTTTAAAGCAAGTTACAACGAATTTAATGGGCAGATTCCAGACGAAATTAGTTCATTGTTGAAACTGGAAATACTGAGTCTTGGACGCAACAATCTTACGGGAAGAATTCCAGCTTCGATAGGGAATCTTTCATCTCTTTCCTTTCTGTCACTGGGGCGGAATAATTTACAGGGGAGCATACCTGAGGAACTAGGCCTACTATCAGACTTGACCTTTTTCCATGTTGGGGCAAATTATTTGTCAGGTTTCGTTCCTTCTTCAATTTATAATCTCTCTTCTATATACTTTTTCTCTGTTGCTTCAAACCAGCTGCAAGGGGAGCTGCCCTCATATGTTGGCCTCACTCTCCGAAATCTTGAGGTATTTCTTGGTGGGGTTAACAATTTTACAGGAAATATTCCTGCATCATTGCCAAATGCTTCTAACCTTCAGCAGATCGAATTGGGTGTAAATGGTTTCACTGGCTCCATTCCTGGAAGCTTTGGAAGATTGAAAAGTCTAGTTAAACTTAGCTTTGAATTTAATAGACTTGGAAATGGAGAAATTGGTGATCTGAATTTTGTGACCTTCTTGGCTAATTGTACTAATCTTACATTGTTGGGTCTTGTTGAAAATCGTTTTGGGGGAGAATTGCCTAAATCCATAGGCAACCTTTCAACTCAGTTGCAGTTTCTGACTTTAGGATCTAATCTGATTCATGGAGAAATTCCAGTTGGAATTGGAAACCTTGTTAACTTACAACTTCTAGGATTGGAAAATAACCATTTAAGTGGTACTGTTCCTGATGTTATTGGGAGGCTCAATAATCTAGAAACATTGTATTTGAATCAAAACAATTTTTCTGGATCGATCCCATCCTCCCTTGGTAATTTAACCAAATTAATTGCGCTTTCTTTGGCGGAGAATAAGTTTCAGGGAAGCATACCTCCCACTCTTGGAAACTGCCAAAAATTGCAGTTACTTATTTTATCTAGTAATCGTTTAAATGGGACGGTACCCAAACACCTTATGAGTCTTTCTTCCCTTACCATTTACTTCGGCTTCTCTTATAATTTTTTGACTGGTCCACTACCACTTGAAGTTGATAATTTGAAAAGTCTTGCAGAATTGGATATATCCAATAACAATCTATCTGGTGAAATTCCTAGAAGTCTTGGAAGTTGTACTAGTTTGGAGCGCTTGTACTTGGGAAGTAATATGTTTGAAGGGACTATTCCTTCTTTGGAAAATTTGAAAGGTTTAGAGGAAATAGATCTTTCTCACAACAACTTGTCCGGTCAAATTCCTACATTTCTTGGCAAACTTGTATTTCTCAAGTATCTCAATCTTTCATACAATAAACTTCACGGTGAAGTGCCAATATTTGCAAATCAAAGTGCCAACATTTCACTTGTTGGAAATGATGACCTTTGTGGTGGTGCCGCAGAACTACTTTTACCTGTATGCTCTAAAGAAGATTCTAAAAGGCATATTAGTAAGAAAGTAGTAATCTCAATAATTAGTGGTATCATAATTGCAACACTTTTGACGAGTTCTTTTGTTTTATATTACAAAAGAAAATCTTCACAGAAAAATTGCACAACATCTTTGAATGAAAATCAGTTGCGCTTGTCTTTCTTTGACATATTAAAANGGTTTTGAATCTGATGAACTCGCTTTACATGATTTCAAGAAACACATAACTCAAGATCCCCTTCAAATAATGAGATCCTGGAATGATTCTGTGCATTTCTGCAATTGGACTGGTCTTACATGCAGTCCAACTAATGGAAGAGTCACGATCTTGAATTTGGACTCGCAAAACTTGGTTGGCTCCATCCCACCTTCCATAGGAAACCTCACATTTCTCAATGCTATCAACCTGGGAAACAATAGCTTCCATGGTAAAATTCCTCCAGAAATAGGCCGTTTACAGCGCCTGCAGAATCTCACCTTGGATGGCAATCAATTTGGCGGGCGCATTCCAACGAATATATCTGGTTGTACAAATCTAAGAAAGTTTAAAGCAAGTTACAACGAATTTAATGGGCAGATTCCAGACGAAATTAGTTCATTGTTGAAACTGGAAATACTGAGTCTTGGACGCAACAATCTTACGGGAAGAATTCCAGCTTCGATAGGGAATCTTTCATCTCTTTCCGTTCTGTCACTGGGGCGGAATAATTTACAGGGGAGCATACCTGAGGAACTAGGCCTACTATCAGACTTGACCTTTTTCCATGTTGGGGCAAATTATTTGTCAGGTTTCGTTCCTTCTTCAATTTATAATCTCTCTTCTATATACTTTTTCTCTGTTGCTTCAAACCAGCTGCAAGGGGAGCTGCCCTCATATGTTGGCCTCACTCTCCGAAATCTTGAGGTATTTCTTGGTGGGGTTAACAATTTTACAGGAAATATTCCTGCATCATTGCCAAATGCTTCTAACCTTCAGCAGATCGAATTGGGTGTAAATGGTTTCACTGGCTCCATTCCTGGAAGCTTTGGAAGATTGAAAAGTCTAGTTAAACTTAGCTTTGAATTTAATAGACTTGGAAATGGAGAAATTGGTGATCTGAATTTTGTGACCTTCTTGGCTAATTGTACTAATCTTACATTGTTGGGTCTTGTTGAAAATCGTTTTGGGGGAGAATTGCCTAAATCCATAGGCAACCTTTCAACTCAGTTGCAGTTTCTGACTTTAGGATCTAATCTGATTCATGGAGAAATTCCAGTTGGAATTGGAAACCTTGTTAACTTACAACTTCTAGGATTGGAAAATAACCATTTAAGTGGTACTGTTCCTGATGTTATTGGGAGGCTCAATAATCTAGAAACATTGTATTTGAATCAAAACAATTTTTCTGGATCGATCCCATCCTCCCTTGGTAATTTAACCAAATTAATTGCGCTTTCTTTGGCGGAGAATAAGTTTCAGGGAAGCATACCTCCCACTCTTGGAAACTGCCAAAAATTGCAGTTACTTATTTTATCTAGTAATCGTTTAAATGGGACGGTACCCAAACACCTTATGAGTCTTTCTTCCCTTACCATTTACTTCGGCTTCTCTTATAATTTTTTGACTGGTCCACTACCACTTGAAGTTGATAATTTGAAAAGTCTTGCAGAATTGGATATATCCAATAACAATCTATCTGGTGAAATTCCTAGAAGTCTTGGAAGTTGTACTAGTTTGGAGCGCTTGTACTTGGGAAGTAATATGTTTGAAGGGACTATTCCTTCTTTGGAAAATTTGAAAGGTTTAGAGGAAATAGATCTTTCTCACAACAACTTGTCCGGTCAAATTCCTACATTTCTTGGCAAACTTATATTTCTCAAGTATCTCAATCTTTCATACAATAAACTTCACGGTGAAGTGCCAATATTTGCAAATCAAAGTGCCAACATTTCACTTGTTGGAAATGATGACCTTTGTGGTGGTGCCCCACAACTACTTTTACCTGTATGCTCTAAAGAAGGTTTTAAAAGGCATATTAGTAAGAAAGTAGTAATCTCAATAATTAGTGGTATCATAATTGCAACACTTTTGGCGAGTTCTTTTGTTTTATATTACAAAAGAAAATCTTCACAGAAAAATTGCACAACATCTTTGAATGAAAATCAGTTGCGCTTGTCTTTCTTTGACATATTAAAATCAACTGATAACTTTTCTGATGAAAATTTGATTGGTGTGGGTAGTTTTGGTTCTGTCTATAAAGGAATTCTTTCTGGTGACGGAAAAGTTGTTGCAATTAAGGTGTTAAAATTTCAACAACAAGGGGCCTTGAAGAGTTTCATTGACGAATGCAATGCTTTAAAGAGTATACGACATCGTAACATCTTGAAAGTCATTACTGTTTGCTCAAGTGTTGATTATGAAGGAAATGACTTTAAATGTTTGATTTTTGAGTTCATGCCTAAGGGAAGTTTGGACAAGTGGCTATATCCGAATCTGGATGAGCAACTTGTTGGAATCAAGAAATTGACCCTTATGCAAAGATTGAATATAGCAATTGATGTTGCTTCTGCTTTTGATTATCTCCATCACCATTGTGAGATACCAATTGTGCATTGTGACCTAAAGCCAAGCAATGTGCTACTTGATGAAGATATGGCAGCCCATGTTGGTGACTTTGGATTGGCGAGGTTCCTTTATGAATCTTCAGATAATGTCTTGCAAAGTCAAATAATGTCAGGCGGTCTAAGAGGTTCTATTGGCTACATCCCTCCAGGTATAAATTCCTTTCAAAATTATTATTAGTTTATTGATAGAAAAAAGCTCGTTGAATGCCAAAAGTGTACGTTTAGAGTTCAAAATAAAGTATCATTTGAATGGTAATACCCTAATTAAAGTATATACTCTATCTTAAAACTATATATTTACTAAAGCAATGTTAGTACACATCATGTATGCCTTGAGCTAACAAGGGTTCAAGAGAACCAAGAGGGATTCTCCTTGACTTTAAAATATTTTTTATGCGTAGAAGTCAAAATTTCAAAAGTTTATGTGTAAATTTTTTTTTTAACATTAATAAAATAAAATAAATTAACTTTAAAAAATATTTTTGTTTTTTATCTTATAAACCAATAAATTTCAAGAATACTGAATTTAAGAAATTCTTTGCAATCTTTTATCCTTTACTTAATTTAAATATAGGATTTCTCATTCAAATTATTATCATAAAATTATCACATTTTTGTCATTATTCACCTTATTTAGTTTTTCTTTTATCTTTTTCGCATTTCTACTTCATCAATGTTTTCCTTGTTTTCTTTCTTAAATTTATTACACTTATTATAGTCATCAATCTATTGCAATTCAATGGTTTAGAAGTTGAAGTAATTACTACCTTCAGCTTTCCTCTCAAATCCTATTTTAATTTAGTTATTTTATACTTTATTCTTTACTCATATACTGGAAAACGCTAAAGCTTGCTAATTACAATACCATTTTTTTCCGCTTTTATCTTTAGAATTTTCCTAATAAATACATACTAATTTTATTTTATTTTATCTTTTTTGTTCTTATATGTAATTTCTCGCTAATTTGTGAAGCTTCTAAAGTGATATAATTCTATTTTTCATAGCAAAAAAGAAAAAAAAAAGTTTCAATCTCTTGAACATAAAATATGTATGTTTTTTTTTTTTTTTTTTTTGGGTGTGTTTTTTTGATTATCATATATTGTTATTATATAGTAAACAGTGTAATTTATTATTATTATTATTTTGCGCGTTTGAAGTTTGTATTAGTTTTATATACTTCAAGAGTATTATATGTTTCGACCATTAATTCAAGTCCGAGGTTGCTTGCACTTCCATTGTTGATATCTTATTTACCAATCTTACAAATTGTAGAGCATATGGATGGCTATGTTTCCAGGCTCGGAGACATATACAATTACGGTATACTATTGTTGGAGATGTTTATAGGTAAAAGACCAATAGATGACATGTTTAAAGATGACTTGAACATTCATAAGTTTGTTTCTATGGCTTTTCCAAATCATTTCATGGATATTGTTGACCCATCACTACTCTTTGAAGAAGAAAATGAAGATGATGAAATAGAAGAGGCAATGATCAGAAACTTTGAATCTCAGACGAGTAATAAAAAGAAAATGGAAGAATTCTTGGTTCCCGTGATGAGAATTGGACTGATGTGCTCCACAACATCTCCAAGAGAGCGGATGGCAATGAACGATGTGGTTAACAATATAAAATCTATTAGAGACTCATTTATCAAGTTTAAGGATAGAAATAAGCAAACGAGGAGGTAAACTGATATCAACCACTCTTAATTCCGAACTCCATGTACGTTTAAATATCTTATGACATGTTGGCACTAATAGTATCTATTGTGATTAAATAGTTGGTTTATTTATTTATTTATTTTTTTGTTCTCCGTGTTTAGCTCTTAGTGTTAACATTGAGTTCTCTCATAGATATCAAGTGTGATAACATTTTATCCTTTGCGATTTGAATAGACCAATATTAAAGTTGAATTAGGTAAAAGATTTTGGAAAACTTTACTTTTTATTAAACCGTTATACTACTTTGAAAAAACTGCAATATCACTCCTTTTACTTTCACGATCCTGTTAATTCACTAGTTCTTCTTAGATGATGTTAGGAGGTTCGTGTATGTGTGTGTATATGGGATAAGAGGAGGGCCTTGATAAAGGTAAGACCAATCACCATGTTGATCAGTTACTGTGGTTTCCCACATGCATAACCTTATAACCTTTTGGCCCGTCGATGGAGGAATAGTATCCCTTTTGGCAGTGAATTAGTCCTCAATTTTTTTCATATATTTAGCCCAATCGTCAAATTTAAGTGAGAATGTAATTACAATAAAATGTTTCATTCTTCTTCTTCTTCTTCTTCCATATATTTACTTTAAGACTTATATTTGATAAACCAGAATTAACAATGGAGCATGAAATTTCTTCAATGGGAATTTGTGATACCATGAGCTATCACATGAAAATTTGATTCTTTGAGAGGGTGATATTGGATGGGAATGATATTGTTTATATTGGGTTTGAAATTCGGGTTTTTCTTCTATCAAGTCGGGATTCAAAAGTGCATACTTGATTAAAGAGCTTTAAGGTTGTGATTCCATAAACAAACTAATCCATAGTTGTATGATAATGATATTAATTGATATGGTCTCATCCTTCATTAATTTTTGTTCTTAGACTACCCAACCAAAGTAACACTTTTTTTTTTTGGCCACTCTAGGTTGATGGTTTTAGTATATGGAAATTATGGAAGAAATGAATATTTTGTCTTCGGTGGGAAATGATAGCAACTAAACTTGAAATGGGCCATTCTAATTATCCTTGCAAGTATAGAAATTGGAGAAACATAATGTGGCAATGCTATGTTTAATCCTAACGGTAGTAAGAAACATTAACTAAGTTGGATAATTCCTATAAATTTCAATTTAAATGTGAAATTGTGATAATTATTTTAAGGTTTAATTTAATTGTGAAATTGCTAATTCTGATTTATTTAAATTTATTTTAAATTTTAAATAGCTACAAATATAAAGCTTCTAAGTAAAAGTATGGAAGAAAAAGAAGAATAAAATCTTTTATTATAATTATATCTTCACTTAAACGAAGATAGGGGCTAAAAATCAGTGTTTTAAAATCCAACCTGGGATGAAACCTGGCACAGTTGTCGGGTCCCCAGTTGACCTGTTTAACCGGTTTGACCAGCGGTGACAAATTTTAAAATCCAGCAAATACACCCCTAAAATTTGTTAAGTCCCTACATGTTTGAAATTTAGCAAACACACCCCAAATACAAATTGACAACCGACTAGTTGGCGACAACGACACCCCAAATGCAACCACAATCATCCCTTGAGTACATTCCCTAGAAAATCTACCCAAGATTTGGCCAGATCTCACTGACGATAACGTCGACATTCTAAGCCAAATCCCACCGACATAACGTCGACAACTCTCCCCATCACCCCAAAAATACTCCCCTTTGCCTTTCAACCAATACCCACCTCACCTCACCTCACCCCACCCCCGTTAGCCTCACTAATCGCCGACAAAAGCCTGCTGTTGTCGTTGCCTGTTTTTTTCGATGTTCGTTCGATTCACTCATCAAAAATCAATGTCATCGCCACCATTGCATTCATTGACATTTTCTCTTCAAAAGCTCCAACAACCTAGCCTTCAATTGTTTGTCGATCATCAACCCAATTTTTAGGGTTTCGATGAATAGTGAAACGTGTAATCTAGTCCAGTGAAAGCCCTAGGTCCTACTTGAATTGGTTGGACCGGGCCAGGTTTTAAAACAATACTAAAAATCACTTAACATTCCATGCACTCTTAAAAAAGAGTAAACAACATGTTCCCAATCCAAGGTTTAGTGAAATAGCAAGTTTCGACCCTTGGTTTCATAAATTTTAGATTTACACCCTTAAAGTAACAACCTTAATGACTTTGGATTCTAACACACATACAGAAAGTGTTATTACCAAACTGCCCTCACATATTCTTCTCAAGTCTACCTGTTGATCCAACAATCTCCTCCCTTTTGGATGAACTCACACGCTTATTCAATGGCCCCTTTTTGATGAAGCCTCTCTCTTGGACTCTCACGGTAGGCTTAGAACAGAAATCACCCATGGTTCCAAACAAAGAAGTTAGAATAAACCCAGGAAAAATCAACACTTTCTCCTTCACAGACAAACCTAACCAACTAAATCCAATCCTAAACTTGCTAAAACTCTACCCTTTTGAATCTCCATAAACAAGAATCAACTCAACACCAATCTTCAAAGGACAATTAAGAAATCATATACTAAAAATGACTACAAAAACAAGAAAACAAAGATTAAATTATAATGGAAAGTTAAAAATGATTGAGAAAGGAAGGCTTAATCAGCAAGAGACTCATAAGAGGAGGGATTTGTTTGTGTTCTTGAATCTTGAATAACGGACTGTTGAACGCGTAAACATAATTCCTCTTGCAATTAACATAGACAAATAGAAATGGAGTTGGAAATTTATTATTTATTATAGAGACGGTTTTGGCCGGCAAAGCAGATGTTCTCAGTCAACATAACAAATCCACTTTCTCTATATGTCATCATCTTCACTTTCTATTTCTAGATGGAGTTTCAAACAGTTAAGTATACTTCGGTTTGGGTTTCGAAACTGAAGCTGAATTGTGGTCGTTGATTTTCCGTTTTGTTAACAACTTCTCAATTACTATTTCATCGAAAATACTGTTGTTCTGTTTGAATATAAATAAAGTAAAAGATAATTTTATTTATTTATTTTCTAATTCATCTTGAATCAAACTACCCAGCCCCTACCCACTACCATCACCGACTGCTCTCAGACCTCCCCTGCACCTTACCACCTCCACCGACAGACGTCGCCCCGCTCACCAGTTGGAGTTGAGTTTATTTGGAGTTGTGTTTTGAATTTGGGTTTGCTTGGAGATTGAAGTTTGGTGAATTTGGTAACTGTTTTTGGAGTTTGTTTTTGTAGATTGGATTTTTGTATGTGTACTGTAGTGTGATTTCCTGCCACCTCCCATCTCCCATGCACTTTCCACAAGCCATCCACATCTTTGCCCACCAACTGCTCGACGAAAGACCTCAACCAGCAGCACCCCACATTCCGACCACAAAGCCAGAACAAGAGGGTGTGGTGGCGTCGGTCAGAGATGTATTTCGGAAATGAAAATATTAAAATATAATAAATGGCTATTTAAACGGTTAAAAGAAAGCAGACCGTGTTAACTCAAGGTGGGAATCTAAAATTTATGAAATTAGAGGTAGGAACTTGTTATTTTGCCAATCCTTGGGTGGCAACATGTCGTTTACTCCTTAAAAAAATTCATGTGGGGATGATGCAGTTGAAAAGAGTGGGTAAAGATAAAAGAAATGGAAATATGTCTAGCGTGGATCCGATCTGTAGCAAAGAGTGGTGGAATATCAACTCACTTTACAATAAATGACAATAATAATATATATTGAATATAAGAACTAAGCATTTGCTTGATAAATATAATACACAATCACTAACCTGGAAATGGAGCTCAATGACGACAACAAGAGAAGCTCGCCGGAAAGAAGGAAAGCAAGCTTGCCGGCAAGAGGGAAAGTAAGTTCGCTGGTGATGGGCAATTAGAATTGAAATTAGATTACTTAGTTAATTTCCTGAAAAAAAAACCATAAAAACGGCATCGTTTCAAGTTGAGCTACTTGAATAACTTGTAGCCCTACATAGTTTCTAAAACATACAATATTTACCCTGGAAATATCATTTAACTCCCTATTTGTTTGTGTATCTTACAATTTTACACTTCTAATATTATATGACTGGGTTAATTTGTAGTATATGGTCTCATGCTTTTACAACGAGTGTGTTTTTAGTCTTATACATATACTCTTTTACGTTGAGATAATACTACCGATGTATAAGACATCATAAAATAGGTTTTATTGACATGATTTTAATACCGTATACAACTGTCATATAATCATAGTATATTTCTTGTAGTGACATTCCCTCTCCAATTTGAGGGGGCATGATAAGGAATGTTACTCAAAAAGAATGGTAAAGTTATATTTAATTTGTTTAAGAAAACAAAGGAAGCATAAATGGGAATTTTCTTTTCCCAGAAATAAGGCATTTTAAAATTTTGAAAAATAACAATTTAATTACAAATTAATAAGAATTTTGTCACTGCAAGACATTGACTAAAATATTTTTAAATAATTAGAATAATTTGCATCAATTGGGTTTAACAAAATATGTAATTTATGAAAAACAGTTCCACTACCTCATTGCACTCAAATCCTTTTGAATATTCTACTCCAAAATAAATATCTTTTAATCAAGTCTACTCCAAAATAATTTACTTATTATAAGTGCTCCCACAGTCACACCAAGAAGTAAGTGGTAGACTTGGAAATTAATCCATGTCTCCAAATTCCGCATGTGAATAAATTAATAAACTAATAATTCTCAAGTCGCCAGTTTTATTTACTAATCTTATTTGCACTATTAATTTCTTTCAACTGAAACTAGCAATCCCTCTTTCTGCATTAATTCCAAAAAACCATGAAGCAATACTGTTTTGATTCCAAGTGGATTTTGTTTCATCTTTTATGGATAATCATGATCACCTCTGCCTCATCAGGTTTTGAAGCTGATGAACTCGCTTTACTTGATTTCAAGCAAGGAATAACTCAAGATCCCCTTCAAATAATGAGATCCTGGAATTCTTCTATGCATTTCTGCAATTGGACTGGTGTTACATGCAGTCCAACTAATGGAAGAGTCTCAATCTTGAACTTGGACTCGCAAAGCTTGGTTGGCTCTATCCCACCTTCCATAGGAAACCTTACGTCTCTTACTGTCATTGACCTGGGAAACAATAGCTTCCATGGTGAAGTTCCTCCAGAAATAGGCCGCTTACAGCACCTGCAGCATCTCAACCTGTCTTGCAATTACTTTGGCGGGAGTATTCCAACGAATTTATCTCGTTTTACAGAACTTCGAGTATTTCACCTTTTCCGCAACAAGTTTATTGGGCAGATTCCGGACCAGCTTAGTTCATTGCCGAAACTGGTACAACTAAATCTTGCAATTAACAATCTTACAGGAAAAATTCCATCTTGGATAGGTAATTTTTCTTCCCTTGTCCATCTGTCACTTTTATCCAATAATTTACAGGGAAGCATACCCAAGGAATTAGGCCTACTATCAAGCTTGGGATTTTTTCAACTTGGTGGGAATTATTTGTCTGGTACCATCCCTACTTCAATTTTTAATCTCTCTTCTATGTACTATTTCTCTGTGGCTGAAAACCAGCTGCACGGGCAGTTGCCGTCAGATGTTGGACTCAATCTCCCCAATCTTAAACAATTTTATTGCGATTTGAACTATTTTACAGGAAGTATTCCTGTATCATTGCCAAATGCTTCTAATCTTTCAGTAGTTGATTTTTATAATAATAGCCTCACTGGGAATGTTCCAGAAAGGTTTGGAAGCTTGCAAGGTCTCATTACACTTAATTTTGCGAATAATAGACTTGGAAAGGGGGAAATTGGTGACTTGAAATTTCTAAAATTTTTGTCTAATTGTACGAGGCTTGTAGAGTTGGGTCTCTATGGTAATGTTTTTTGGGGGAGAGTTGCCTAATTCGATAGGCAACCTTTCAACTCAATTGCAAAAGTTAGATATTGGAATGAATCTGATTCATGGAAACATCCCTGCTGGGATTGGAAACCTGGTTAACCTAGCTGTCTTATCCTTTATGGGAAACTACTTAAGTGGTAGTGTTCCAGCTGAAGCTATTGGGAGACTACGGAATCTAGAGGTATTGTTTTTATGTATCAATAATTTTTCTGGATTAATCCCATCCTCACTTGGCAACTTGACTAAATTATTTCAGCTTTGTTTGGGAATAAATGAATTCGAGGGGAGCATACCTCCAAGTCTTGAAAAGTGTAAAAAATTGCAAGTATTGGATTTATCTAATAATAGTCTAAATGGCACCATACCAAAAGAAGTTATCAGTCTTTCTTCCATTTCAATTTATTTGGACTTGTCTAACAATTTTTTGACTGGTTCATTACCACTTGAAGTGAGTAACTTGAAAAATCTTGGAGAGTTGGATGTATCCAAGAACAAATTATCAGGTGAAATTCGTAGTAGCCTTGATAGTTGTACCAGTTTGGAACGTCTGTACTTGGGAAGTAACATGTTTGGAGGAACTATTCCTGAATCTTTGAAAAGTTTAAGAGGTTTAGAGGAATTGGATCTTTCTTGGAACAATTTATCTGGCCAAATTCCCGAATTTTTTGGCCAACTTTCATCTCTCAAGTATCTCAATCTTTCATATAATAAAATTGAAGGTAAAGTACCCAAGAAAGGGATATTCGCAAATGCAAGTGCCGAGATTTCACTTATTGGAAATGAAAAGCTTTGTGGCGGTGCTCCAGAACTACTTTTGCCTGTATGCTCAACAAAAGTTTCTGAAAAGCATATTAATATAAGAATAGTAATCTCAATAATTATTGGTGTTACAGTAGCGACTCTGGTGGTGATTTCTTTTGTTTTATATTACAAAAAGAAATCTTCACGGACAAGTTCCACTACATCTTCGATCAAAAGTCAGTTACGTTTTTCTTACTCTTATATTTTAAAATCAACTGATAACTTTTCTAATGAAAATTTGTTCGGTGTGGGTAGTTGTGGTTCTGTCTACAAAGGTACTCTTTCCGGTGATGGAAAAATTGTTGCAGTCACGGTGTTAAAAGTTCAACATCAAGGAGCCTTAAAGAGTTTCATTGATGAATGCAATGCTTTGAAAAGCATACGACATCATCATAACTGTTTGCTCAAGTGTTGATTATATAGTTTTCTGATTTTGTTCAGATTACGTGGAAGGGGTCGGTGACGGGGTTCAATCAATCTGAGCTTTGGCCTCCTATCATTCCGCCTTGGGTCATACCTTGCATAACTCACCCGATTCATCTCATCTTCCTCCCACCTTATTTGAATCACCGCTTTGGCCAAGGTGTCTTCCATCGTGGTGCAACCGAGCTTCGTCAATTCTTTGTATAATTTACCATCCGGTAGGAGACCCTTCTTGAAGGTGTCTACGGCTGTCTAGGGGTTACAAGAGGGGATGGAGATTTTTTTCTTTGTTGAATCTATTGATGTACTCTCTCAGTGGCTCCCCCTTTTTCTGGTATACTTTGTACAGGTCGATCGATAGCTTCTCAAGTTTCTTGCTGCTGGTGAATTGCTCCACGAAGGTGTCCGTGAGCTGTGCGAATGAGTTAATGGAATTGTTCGGGAGGTTAGTGTACCACTGAAGAGCCGGAACAGAAAGGCTTGAACCAAAACTCTTATACATACAGACTTCCCTCAGCGTTCGGGGTATCGAGACGGTGAACATTTGTTGCTTGTATGAGGCTATGTGATCATCTGGGTCGGTTGTGCCATCATAGGGCTTCATGCCAAGGATAGTGAATTTGTGAGGCATGTCGGCTAGCGTGATCGCATCCACGAAAGGCGAATCGGCATAGCAGTAAGGCTTGCTCTTTTTGGTAGGGATTGGCATTCCTGGTATGCGCCTCATCACTGCCTCTACGTCGGCCAATCTCTTGGCCAATGGGAGAGGCGGATACCACTAGGTCATCCTGATTGACTTGGTTGGCCACAAGATTCGCACTCGACGCATTTTGTTGTGTCAATCCGTGTGGTGTAGCCTAGTGGATCATTCCTTCATGTATCATTTGGTACCTTGGATCCCTGTTCATTCCCTCTGGTTGGGTGACTCCCATTGTAACTGATCGGGTGTTTCACCCTATATGAATGGTTAAGGGGGTTATTTGGTACTCGCTCAATCCGTTAGGATGGATGGACTCGAGCGGGATGGTTTGAAGTGGGTGACTGCTCGACCTGCGAGGATGAACGGAGCCGAGTGGAGTTTGTGTAGGGACGGTTAACTGAAGGTAAGGTGGGATGGCAAGGATGGGCGGTTCTTGTCGTAGCAGGCTTTCTGTCACTTGGACACCTTGCTTGCGCTTAAGGCAGATCGACCGAGAAGGGTTCTATTGGTAGACCCCGTTCGGGTGAATCAAGGCTGAATCGTTGACCAACGACAAACATAGTTGATGCGATCGCTTGTTTGAAGTTGAAGGTCTGTGCTTTGGAGTTTGGAGAGGTTGCATAGACAGAAGTGTGGCGCGGAACCGATTGGGTATTACCTGACATGGAAGAAACTCAAGATCATAAAACTGACTTACCTTCTCTTTTAGAGATTGGTTCTCAGCCTGGATGGAGGCGTTTTTAGTTCCAATGGCAGTGTTCTTAGCTTCTAATGCTGCCACCTTGTCTGAGTGCTGTTGCATGAGGGTAGTCAGAGCCTCCAGTTTGGCCTTGAGGCCAGGATTAGTGTTATTAGAATTGTCAGCCATGGAGAGTTTCTTCACGTAGTAGGGTTTGTTGAGATGAATGATTGCTAGAGGCCCCACAGTGGGCGCCAAACTGTAGACATAAAAATCTACCTGTACGGAAAGAGGGTCTGATCCCGTGAAGTTGAGGCCACTAGCGATCTGCTGCACCTGCACACGTAAAGAAACAAACATGAAACGACGGAAAACACCAGGGTGGTGTTTGCCGTAGGCACTCCGACGCTCAAGTCAGCAAGGCTGAATGAGGTTAATTTAGTGAGGGCTATGGATAAGAAAGGTTACCGGAAGTCTAGTCGGGGACTGTGACTACGGTTTGTAATGCAAAGTTCTCAAAAGTAGGAACTTCAAGGTCTGAGAGTGTAATGTCAATGTCCCTTGTGATAGGGCTGACTTTTGTGTAAATAGTGACTGCATGATCTCCGAGTCTTAGTAGGACTGGGAGTCCTTGTGATGGTAGTCTTCTTCAAAGGTGTAGCCTTTGGCTCCCTTATCTCAATAGGAAAGGGAGTTCGAATGTACCTCGGATACGGACCTTGGAGGAGTTAGGATAGTAACTGACTTCTTTAGTAGAGTTCAAGTAGAAAAGTACTTTGTAGGCGACTGTGGGCTCCGAGTTGATCGTAAGCCCAATAGGTGTTCAAGGATCAAGAGGCCTAGGTCTAAACGGTGAGGAGTTGAGAAAACATAATGAATGGGCCTCATCTGCAGAACTCTGATTTGGGACCCATTGGAGTTGGGCCTGAGCTTTCGGCCTGGATGAAGGTGTCTTCGTCTTTGGGCCTATTTGGGCCAAGGACATTTTTTAGCCCTAACAATACTTCAAATATACTAATTAATGAAACTAAGAACACAATTATAAAAGTGTAATTAATACATTTGAAATTAAAAATAGACTTCTTGTTGCGAAATCAATTGATAAATAGGAATAAATTATTTGGAAAAACTACATCAACAAATATTAAAACCCAAAATTTTACAATTTTATCTTGCTATCTTCTCTTGTTCTTCAATAAAATTAAATTAAAGAAAAAACAAAAATACAAATTAAGCCCCACTCAATCAGTCGGTATCTTTCTAAAATATATATTTGTAAATAGTATTTTAAAAATATTTTTAATTATATTATTAAGACTTAGAAAGATAATGAGTGGAACTTAAATAACACCACTTTTTTTTAATATCCAAGCCAGGTAATGCCCGCCCTGCATACCCCAAGTCTGGGCCGATTCTAGGTTGGGCCTAAAAAACTAACATCCCAAATATTAAAAAAAAATTCTTTACTTTTTAAAACTTTTTATTTCTTCAAACTTTGAATCCTCTTTATACTTTTGAAATTCTGTTTTTAGGATTAAAAGTATTATGAGATGACAAGAGATAGTTTCAATAAATAGAAGACTAAAATCATGAAAAAATTTTAATTTTCTTTTATTTAGTCTTTTAACATATCTATTTTCTTTGTATTAAAAAAAAAAAAAAAAAAAACGGTAGACTCTTAATGAACAAGGTGCTCATCACTCTGATCTTATAGCAAAGATTTTTTGCTCGATAGGTTTGAAAAGGCCTTCTATTGTTCTGATAGTAAAGGATGAAATCAATTTAGTGAATGTGTATAGAATAAAAAATATGGTCCATAGAGTTCAAAGAGGAAATATGGTGCTATTAAGTAAATGCATTGAAAGTTAACTTGAGATAAAAAGAAAAAAAACGGAAACCCTAGACAGAAAATATATGGTCAGGCTAACCAAGATATTTAGGGAAAAAAATTAAAAAATAAAATAAAATATATTTGTAAGTAGTATTTTAATTATTATTGAGACTTAGAAAGATAATGAGTAGAGCTTAAATAACACCACTTTTTTTAATATCCCAGCCAGGCAATACCCAACTCGCATACCCCAAGTCTGGGAGTTTCTAAGTGTTATGCCCGGGAAATGAAGGGCTGACGTGGAGTCACGTGACGAAACGTGGCCTGCTCCCGTCAGAATGGTAAGCGCACGTCAGGCTTGCCAAGCACCCTAGAGCTCCCACGTGTCCGCTTACCTGCTCCAAATCGCGTAAAATCAGCTTGGGAAATGGGTAATGGGACGTAAAGCCTGATTATATTCTGACATTCACACCAACCTAAGGATTTAATGATGATTACACGCATTCAGCTTGGTATAAGAAGAGGAAGACCCCTTCATTAAGGGGATTCGATCATTTTGACATTTTAATCTCTCTCAAAAGAAGGCTCTGTATTTACTTTTCAATCATTTGTAAGTCAGTCCGCTTTAGCGACCTGACCCACCATGTTAATATAAATCAGTGGACGTAAGATTTGCTACCTTAGCATCCGAACCACTTTAAAAGGCTTCTATTGCATTATTTCCTTTTGACTCACAATCACGTGCGCCTCTTGATCAATCAACGTTGCGCACGTGTCGGTTGGTTGGTGTCTAAAATCACGCATCAACAGTTTGGCGTTAGAAGGAGGGCCTGATTTAGCGTTTACCCTTCATCAGGAGAATCTTCGACCTACTGGTCCTACAGCAACAAATGGCCCGCCAATCAGAACCTAAGCAAGCTGATCAGCGCGTTGAAGGAGTCCCCTTGACCCAAGGGGATACCCTCTCCAAGGTACTTCCAGTTCCTCAAAATGCTGCGGGGGATATCCCGGCAGCTTCGCAACTCGACCCCGCCATTAGAAGCTACCTGGAGAGGTTCGACAATACTCTCCAGACGGTCAACCAGAGGTTGGACAGATTGGACCAAGGCATGTCATCTACAACAGTTGGGGCGGTGCAACCGCCAAAGACGCCTGCAGGTCGCGCGAAAGCGCGGCAAAGGGCAATAGCCCGTGCCGCGAGCACTACAGCGCATAGACGTAAGGGAAAACAGGTGGCAAAAGGTAAGCCTACGGGCTCCCAAGGACCAGCGAGCACAGATCGCACCCCGAGCAGGGTGCCGACAAAGCTGAGACTCGGCGAAAAAGTAAATCCTGAGCTGTCCCATGCCACGTCGCAGGCGAACCCAAGTAAAAATGCCAGGCGCGATGATTTATATCACCGCCGGCAGAATGATCCTGATTGTTATGCGGGTGGCCCCCACACCTCGCGGGGCGGTTCGTACCACCACGAGGGTCGTGAAAACGCCCCGCACAATCCATCGCCTTTACACGCCTCTAGCCAGTGTGTGTCGAGTGCGGCCGGAAATGCCGGCCAAGGCGAAGAGGAATCCGACCTCCGGACTTTCCTGAACCGTAATCGCGAAGGCCAGACTCGCATGGGTGAAAGCAACCCTCAATTGGGCCCGTTACCACAAATTGAGGAGCTACAGCGAGCTCTGGACAGGTTAAGGGAGCAGCAAAGCGAACAGGCCCAAGTCGCCTCTGCATCCCTATTCTCTCCCGAAGTGCTAGCTGCTCCACTCCCACCAGGGTTCAGAATGC